CTAACAAAATATATATTGTGTGTTTGAGTGGTCCAGACGCTATATCTGCTTTAATTGTGTGTTTTTGAAGTACATTTGCTACGGCAAAAATGCAAGAGAAACTCTGATGTTAGCTTTTTATTAGTAGTAGAATAGTCATTGTGTGATGACCACCCATAGTCTGTTCTCTGATTAAATAATTTAGTATTAGTTAACAGTTTCACATTGTACAACAGTGCTGTGATATTTTGGAAGATTTCATTTAGACACACACAGACATCAAGAATCAGTGTATGATTCTCGACAATGGTGACAAAATATTCAGATAAACAGATCAACTCTGAACGTCACAAAACAAGCTACTATGGTCACAAAATATGGTCATTTTTTTATATTCAGACGCTAATTCTTGATTTTTCTGTGCATCTAAAACACAGTTCAAAACCTTTCATTAAAATGACTTAAGGTATAGTTTATGCCTATGCTGTTCTCTTTTGATGTTCTAGGATAATCGTTTATATATAGTAATTCCTGAGGCATTTCATATAGTCCCCATATGTAAACCTCATTTAGCATTTATAGGACATTCTGTAGTGCACAATGCATAGCAGATTTTCTTCACTGCTCAAAGAACTGGAGGCTTTACATCATTTTGAATGGTCCAGTATCTTACTACACACAGCTACAGACTTTAATTAAATCATTCCATTATGACAGACCTTAGATGACACAAGTGAAAACAATGCTTGAAGGCCTAAATGGAGAGACTGGAGAAGAGTAGTGCCAGACACAAGTCCAATTCAACTAACTACATAAAATTCGGTAGATCCAAAAATAGCTCAAAGATCAAAAAACAAATAAGATCTGCACACGAGAAATAGGCCAACAATGCTCATTTGAATTTATTGTCCCAAGGCCACAAATAAAGTGCAAAATTGCAAAAATGCATAAAACAATAGAGCAAAAAAAATAAGTTTGTTCTATGCTGTGCTTTCCCCCAGTGATTCATCGGTTAAATGTATCATTTTTACATTTTAGTTACAGAGGATTCCACAAAGTGTTTTGTGCTAAACATTAACACCCCAAAACACTTTTTTCCTGTTCTTCTGCGTTAGTTTAAAAATAAATTGCATGTGATATATTAAGATTGTGCTGTATGCAGGGCTGGAGTGGGACTCCTGGAGTTGCATGCCTTAGACCGGCCCACTTTAGTTTACGACTGAGCTCTTAAAATAATTAAAACCTCAGTATATAAGTCTGCAATAGTGCACTGTTCTCTACAGCCTTGCAATTCATTGTATTTTTTTCTAGAGCTTTTATATATATATATATATATATATATATATATATATATATATACATTCTGG